TGGGCGCTGTCCCTCAGCTCTTCAGCTCAAGGCAAGCGCTCTACCACTTGAGCTACAGCGCCACTTCCGGTTTTCTGGTGGTTTACTGGAGATAGGAGTCTCATGGTCTCTCCTGCCCGGACTGGCTTTGAACCGCGATCCTCAGATCTCAGCCTCCTGAGTAGCTAGGATTACAGGCGTGAGCCACCAGTGCCCGGCTAGGAATCTGTTACTCTTAACTGTATGTCCTTCTCCATTTCCTAGTGACACATCTAAAAATTCTTTGTTGTTGTTGTTGTTGTTTTGTCAGTCATGGGGCCTGAACTCTGGGTCTGGGTGATGTCCCTCAGATCTTCAGCTCAAGGCTAGTACTCTACCACTTGAGCCATAGCACCACTTCTGGCTTTTTCTGCTTATGTGGTGCTGAGGAATTGAACCCAGGGCCTCATGCATGCAAAGGTGAGCACTCTACCACTGAGCCACCTTCCCAGCCCTAAAAGTTCTGTTTAAGGAGCTTAATCACTGCTAAGTGCGGTGGCTCACATCTGTAATCACAGCTACTCAGGAGGCAAATATCAGAAAGATGACATTTCTTGACAGTTTGTACAAAGTTAATAAGATCACATCTCTGGTCCTAGACCACAGGCATAGGTAGGAGGATCACAGTCCAGACAAGTCCTTGGCAAAAAGAAAGAGAAGTCCAGTTGTTTCCATTCTGTCTCTCTAGGAAAGATAGTGAAGAGTATAAATACGGTATTCACATGAATGCGCTTCTGTGTTCACTGTGAAGAACTCTTCAGAGCCAGTGATTACTAAATTTCTCACACTGGAATAAAAAACACTGAGCTGAGTCCACATGGGGATTTGGTATAATTTCAAGTGCAACTTGCCAAGATTTGGTTAGAAAATATTATAGGATCATTGTAAGTATTGATTTCCTCTACAATCATTGTGTGTGTGTGTGTGTATGTGCGCTTGTGTGTGTGTGAGAGAGAGAGAGAAAGAGAGGGAGAGAGAAAAAAACAATGAAATAAAAATACAAAAAGAGGGAGAGAGAGGGAAGGAGAGAGTCAGTTGTGAGGTTCTTTAACTCAGGGCTTAGGTGCTGTCCGTGAGCTTTTTTTTCTCTGTACCACTTTGAGCCACAGCTCCACTTCTGGGTTTTGAGTGGTTAATTGGAAATAAGAGTCTCAGAGATTTTTCTTCCCAGTCTCACTTTGAACTGCAGTCCTCAGATCTCAGCCTCCTGAGTAGCCAGGATTACAAGCGGGGGCCACCAAGGCCTGGACTCTAACCAACAATTATGTATTTATTTTTATTTATTTATTTTTGGGGGTGAGCCCTGGGACTTTACTGACTAGAGTTTTATGTGACAGCAGGAAGGCCTCCTAGAGTAGTGCAGCCAGCTGGGCCCACAGTGGCAGGCTGGCGTTGTCTTCATCAAGCCTCGCACTCGTTGTTCTTGGAGAGTGCGGTAGCCCCCATGTTCATGGGGTTCTTGATGCCCTGGCCCTCCGCCCAGCCCATTTTCAGCAGCATCTGATAGCCGATGTCTGAGTGATCAGGCTCGCTCATGTCTCCCTGGGCTTCTCCAGCTCATCCAGAGGCAGGAAGGCCCTGATGAAGGCTTGCCCAGTTCATCTTGGCCAGCTGCAAGGCCCATCAAAGGTCTTACTCATCTACATGCGCCGCAGCTTGTGCTCCCAGGTACCCAGCTTGCTGTCCCCTCCTTGTCGCTGTCATGGCCCTGCTGCTGCAGCAGCACCACGTCCGGTTTTCCGGTGGTTCATTGGAGATAAGAATCTTATGGACTTTCTTGCTGAACTTTTGTTGGTCCATGATGATTATCTGATCATCGGGCACCTGTAGCTAGGTCATTGTGGTAGAGAAAAGCTGTGCACTTATGAGAACAAAAGGAAGGTGAGGAGAGAGAGGGACATACAGGGACAAAATAGAAATTACTCTTTACTTTTTAAAGGCATACACACCTCTAGTGATCTGCTGCCTCCACTAGGTTCTACCTGCTAAGATGTCCCTTTCTGTTACCTCCCAGTAGCTTCACAAGCTGAGGAATAAGCCTTCAACATGAACATTTTGGGGATGCTTCCAACACAGACTATGTTAGAGTTGTTGGCAGTAGTTCTGTGCTGTGGGGACATTACTGAGAAGAAAGAAGGTTGGACGGGAGATGGACTTAAAAGCACTATAGGATTTGGAGGATCTGGCAGGGAGAGAGCTCAGAGATGAAAACAGTAACCTTGTGGTTCATAGTGAGAGATATTGATTTGTAGAGGTACCATTTGGGCAGTTGCTTGACTCCCCAAACCTCTGCCCCACAAATACTCCAGAGTCAGGGAAAAATATGTCATGACTGTTTACTTCCTCAGAGAAACTAAATTAAAATGTATGTATTGACAGACTATCAAAGCTCTGTTTTTTACTTTTTACACTGTTAAGGTACAGTTGTAGCTTTGTATTTGATTGTTTTGGTTATTATAAATTATAATAAAAATAATTTACTCTGGGAATGATGGCACAGCCCTATAAGCCTAGCTACTTGAAAGGCAGAGACAGGAGGATCACGAGGCAAGGTAAGGTAATAGGGCTATCTCAAATACAAAGGTGGAAAAAAACAAAGATGTAAGTTAAAATTTCTAAAAGTGTGAAAGGAGAGGGCTAGAAGTATGGCTCAACTACTGCGTGTACCAAGTCCTGAGTTTGACCCCCAGCAATAAAGAGAAAGAAAAGCAGAAACATTTAATTTGTATTCATTTTCCCCAGTAATTAAAAATTTTGAGAGCAAATGTATCTTATTTTGTTTACCATTGCTCAGTGACTGGCACCCAGTAGACACTGGTCAATGTTTTTTACAGTGTACTGGAATTTGAACTCAGGACTTTGGGGTTGCTAGGCAGGTACTCCAGCACTTGAGACATGTCCAGGCCCTTTTTGGTTTCGGTTACCTTTCAAATAGAGTCTCACATTTATTCCTGGGCCAGCCTGGACTGTGATTCTCCTATTTATACTTGTAGCTTGGATTACAGCATCAAATTATTTCCCAACTTTTTATTTATTGGTAAGATGATCTCATGAACTTTTTGTCCAGGCTGGCATCAAACCCTGATCCTTCCTATCTCCTGTCTCCTGAGTATTTAGAATTACACATCTGAGCCACTGTGCTTGGCTTTTTTGTTTTATTTGTTTTGTTTTCAAGACTGTCTTGCTAATTCTTTTTTTTTTCTGGGGGGGGGGGGTCCCGGGTCGTGGGGCCTGAACTCTGGGCCTGGGCGCTATCCCTCAGCTCTTCAGCTCAAGGCTAGCGCTCTACCACTTGAGCCACAGCTCCACTTTGGCTTTTTCTGTTTATGTGGTACTGAGGAGTCTAACCAAGGGCTTCATGCATGCTAGGCAAGCACTCTACCACTAAGTCACATTCCCAGCCCTTTTGTTATAATTAAGGTGATAAACAGTGGCATTCTACTTTTATTTATTTATTTTATGCCTGGGCTTGATCTCACAGCCTGGGCACTATCCCTTAGCTTTTTCGATTCAAAGCTGGAATTCTACCACTTGAGCCCACAGCTCCACTTCCAGCTTTTTGGTGGTTAATTGTAGATAACAGTCTTGGATTTATCTCCCAGGATGGCTTTGAACTGGGATCCTCAGATCTCAGCCTCCTGAGTAGCTAGGATTGTAAGTGGGAACTACTGAGACCAGGCTCCTATTCTACTTTTTTGCCAGTCTTCGGGCTTGAACCCCAACTGGGCACTGTCCTTGAGCCTTTGTGGTCAAGGCTAGCACTCTACCACTTGAGCCACAGTGCCATTGCTGGCTTTTTCTGTGTAGTTTATTGGAGATAGGAGTCTCATGGTCTTTTCTGCCCAAGCTGGCTTTGATCTCAGCCTCCTGAGTAGGTAGGATTACAGGTGTGAGCTACTGGTGCCCAACCTACTCTACTTTTAATGATTCAGAAACTGTTATACAAACTGTTACAGTACTTTCTCCTATCAAGTAATTATATAACTAATTATATAATTAGGAAGAATAGGGGAATTGCTACCAATTTTGAGTGCATGTGCCTGTCACAGAAGTTGACATTTCATTTTGAAGTAATTAAAAAATTTAACTCAAGACCTGGTACTGTCCTTGAGCATTTTTTGCTCAAGGCTTGTGCTCTCCCACCTGAGTCGTAGTTTTACTTCTTGCTTCTTGGTGGTTAGTTGGAGATAAGAGACTCATGGAATTCTCAGGTTGGCTTTGAACCACAATTCTCATATCTCAGCTTTCTGAATAGCTAGGATTATGGCTGTGAGCCATTGGCACCTAGCCTTTTATATTGAAGCATAACATACATATAGAACATTATAAATTCTAAGTGTAGCAGTCAGTAGCCTATCAAAATGAAATGTGAGTAATCACCACTAAGTAAAATGAGACAGAGAATGTTACCAGTACCTCAGAAAACCTCCTGAAGGATCCCAGTTTGGTAAGGCTCCTGCCCTTCCTCCATAGATCACTTCCAAAGTGATTCTTTTTTTTTTTTTTTTTT